CTTATATCACCTCTAGTGGGGCTTTGTGTTCTGCTGACACAGGAGAGGAAAAAAATCAATTCAAATCAGAGTACCCAGAATTAACGAGTCCTACTCCAGAGACAAACCTCACATTAAACTTAAATGCACAATATTTAATCGATCGCAGTAACTATCCATCTGTTTCAGTGCTGGGTCCTAATAAATGCATTTTGTGCAACTGCAGCAAAATGTTGTTCACAGTGGCACCGATACAGAAGAGCACATTGAAGAGACGCACAAATTTTACATGAGTTGCTGGTCACACATTCCTTTCCCGAGGTCCAGCTTTGGAAAAGTTTGCTTTTAAATTTTTTTTTAAAAAAAATATCTTTTGGCAAGAGCTGAGATCCCAAAAACCACAGAGTTCAAATCGCTCACGCGAGTTGCAAGATTAATTCAGTGACTTTGGACTTTTTACAATGTCAGAGGCACTGCACCTAAAGACAGCCAAGGCAGTAACTGCCTAAGAAGCAAACCTGTCATTGTATCCTAAAACCTCAGTGGAATCAGGAATCGAGGCACCTGTGATTTTTATCATCATAGAATCATACAGTACAGAAGGACGGCATCCAGCCCATCGTACCTGTGCTGGCTCTTTTAAAAGAGCTATTCAAATCGATCCCACGCCCACTCCCCATAGCCCTGCAAACTTGTCATCCCCAAATAATTAGCTGATAAATAATTATTTACAAGCGTTCCAACTGCAGTGTTCCACAAAAGCTGTCACACGAAGTGTACAAAGTGGTAAGCGATTTTACCTGCAGATCCTACGCTTCTTGTGGACATTTCAGGTTTCTGCTCTCTGGCTCTTTAAGAAGTTCCTGGTATGTAAAGCCCGGGTGACATCACAGCACGGGATAACTTTCCAGGCTCTACTAATCAATCAACTGAGCTTTTCGTTGGCTTCAACTCAATGGTTGACCGCAATGTCTCGACACAGAGACCATACAAGCGGAAAAAGCAGATTAACCGTCGCTTATTATTAGACCTGGAACATCAACTTTGCCGTATTCACAATGCATTCAAAAGGGAAAATTAAGTCAATTTAAAGTTCTGTCACTTAGGAGTCCCCTATTCAAACACTGAAGCTGATTTAATTAGAAAAAGAACATTTTACATTGTCCAGTGTGTCACTGCACTTCATTTGCATTTAATTACCACTAATCACCCCGAGACAACAATAATTTGCTGCATGTAACTGTACATAAACTGGGAAAGAATTCCTCACTATATGACTGATTTATTTCACAGGACTGACACTACATTTACAGTAAACTCCTGCTAATTCAACCCTGGCTGAACTTGTCACTACCACTTCAGCCCTCACGCTGTCAATAGCCCGACTGTATTTATTTATGTACTTATACACATGCCTAACTCGCCATTCCAGATAACTCGTCACTGAGCCCTTCCCCCTGGGAGTGACGGGTTGTCAGTTTAGTGCATCTCGAAAGCAGTCAAGCAAATAATAATAGTAATGCTTGCATTTGATATAGCACCTTATCATGTCGTCGAGATGCCTAAAAGCCCTTCAAAGAATGTAAAGTGTACTGTAAAGTGAATTGACTGCACAAGATGAGATGTAAAACAGGAAAATGTTTATTGACATTGCTGCCTCTAATGGTCATGATTGTGATTGAGCTGAACTGCAAACTCATGGATCGGCTGAGCACGCTATGACTTGTTTGACAACACAAAATTCTCTCTGGCACTGACGAGAGCACAGTGGCCAGAAAACAAATGCGTAGTTATGATTTAAACACAGCTGCACATGAAATGCTAATCGGTTAATCCTCCTTCTGAACAGTTCATTTCATTACCTTGTTAAACTGCTTTCTCCAGCTTTACTGCCTGGTCCACCTCTATTGTATCACATGCTTCCTGCCCAATGTCCACACCATCTCTAGCTCCAGCTTCTCTTCCTGCCTTTTGCTCCTCTACATGTTCCCCTTCATCCACAAGCTTGGAGTCCACTCCGACATGTTCATGGTGGACATTCAACTCTACTTCTCTGCCTTTCCCTTTGATTCCAGGACCATCCTGTACTGACAGACATCAAGTCCTGGACGAGCCTGCCAACTCCAGGTTGCTTGCCACTTGGAATTCTCTCCCCGAATTCCCCCTTCCTTGCACTCTCCCTCTATGCTTTCAAAAACCTTCCTCTTTGACTGCACCTTCAAACACTTCCCTCCTGCCCTCTTATTACCTGTTTAGGCCCCAGAGACTGTTACCTCTACGAAATGCTGCGAGATGTCATTCCATGTGACTGGTGCCTCGTAAATGCAAATTCACGTTACTTAGCAAATAGTATAGTTCTTACCCCACAGCGCGCTTAAAACCACACAGGAAATCATAAGCATAAGATTGCAAGAGAGATTTGGTTCCTGAGTCTTATCGAGTCTTTCCTTTAATGTCATCGCTCGAACATTTGGGCTTAGCCTTTTTGCTCTCCTCTGCTCTGTTTCTAGGCCCTGGACAACCATCTTATGCTGCACTAATCAGAACTACACGTAATTCTCTAGGTGCAGCCTGATCAGAACACGTACAGTTTGTGTCCCAACTTCTAGGGCTCCAAACTCCAACTGCCAGCTTCTCTAAATTCTCACAAGCAGAAATCACAAGACTCTTGAGAACAGCGAGGTTTGAGGAAGTGTGATAGACTCCCAGCTAACCAAAAACAAATGAACCAGCCTTCCATGTAAGTAAGGCAGACCTTAACAATCATGAACCAAAGTGTGGGAAAGATCATTATAGACAACAATGTATGAAAGCTGTTTGCGTACAAAAAACACATAAACTAGGAACAAAGGAAAATGGGTTGTTTAAGTCTGGGAAAGACCATTGCGGACAGTTCCCAACTACAACAACAACAACAACAAGATTCCGTTTATAGAGCGCCTTTCACGTCAGGAGGACGTCCCAAGGCGCTGTACAGTTGGGTCAGGACCCGAGCATTGGGGGGAATGGTCAGGGTGAGGGGAGGGAAGGGAGGGAGCGAGGAGGGGGTAGAGAGTCGAGAACGGAGCTGAAGGTCAAAGAGAAAGGTCTTGAGACCGGCCTTGAAGGAGGAAAGGGAGGAAGCGGCGAAGGCACTGGGGGATAGAGTTTCAGAGCCTCAGGGCTGAGAGGCTGAAGGCCCGGCCACCGATGGTAGGGCGGTTGGGGCGGGGGATGTGGAGCAGACCGGAGCCAGAGGAACGGAGGGTACGGGCAGGTAGGTAGGGGGATAGTAGGTCGGAGAGGTAGGAGGGAGCGAGGCCGTGAATGGCCTTGTAGGTGAGGATGAGGATCTTGAAATCGATCCTCTGGGGGATGGGGAGCCAGTGGAGGCGAGCGAGGGTGGGAGTGATGTGGTCGCGAAGCCTGGTGCGGGACAGTACACGGGCTGCAGTGTTCTGAATGACCTGCAGCTTGTGGAGGGAGGGCCGGGAAGGCCGGCGAGGAGAGAGTTCCCATAGTCCAGCCTTGAGGTGATAAAGGCGTGGACCAGGGTTTCAGCAGCGTGAGGGGTGAGGTAGTGCTAAACTACTAAAACTAAACTACTAAAACGTAATCCCGTTCAATTCCATATCTCACACCCAACAACAACTTCCTCCTATAATAGCTATTTTGCTGCTGATGTAAAGGCAACGGAAGACACTATTTCTAAATAGCATTTGATTAATGTTAATACTTTTGTGGAAACTCGGTTAACTGCATCACTGATGTTATTATTACTACGTGCTTACAGCAAAAAAGAGGTTTCTCAGAAACTCGTGTTCCTGGCTGCGCTGGATTTCACTGCAGTAAACAGCTGAAGTGTGTACACTTCGAGGACATGGCTGGGTTTGTTTGGGAAGAGTTTGGGTCAGAGTAACGTGGACAGAAGTCACAGGAGACTGTGACATCATAGTGGGTTTGACCAAAGAGACAGGGAGGTTCAGTGAAAGACGTTATTTCACAGTATGTTAACCTGACTATGTTCACTGTCCAGCGCCTCGGGAAGTCCTCCCGACGTGAAAGGCGCTCTACAAATGTAATCTTGTTGTTGTTGCCCACACTACGCAAGTGGTCTGGGACGCTACCCCACGTGAAGGGCGCTGTGTCAATGCAAGTTCTTGTTGCTGTCGACACTCTAATGCAGTGCTGGGGGTGGGAGGGTGGGGGGGGGGTTGCATTGTTGGAGGTGCCGTCCTTCGGCTGAAACACTGAATAGTAATGATTCTTGCATTTGATATATGATATAGAGCCTTATCACATCTCAAAGAGCTTCATAGGATATGCTGTAAAGTGAAATGACTGTATATTTTGTGGATTAAACGCGGCAGCCAATTTGCGCACGGCAGTGTCCCATAGATAGTTGTGGATTAAGTAACTAAATTATTATTATTTATTTAAAGGGATTATTAGCCCCGCAAAAAAGCGATCTGCAAATCGACTAACAACTGGGTTCCTATTCACTGCTAGGTTATAACATTATTAATTATTATTATTATAGGTTACTGAGACGTGAGGAGTAAGTAAACTTGCCCAACATTTCGCCCTGCTCGGGAATCAAACCCAGGTCCTCCCATTTGTGAGGCGAGGGCTCCAACTGTTGAGCTACAGGACTGAAGAGGCCGAGATTCTGTCTGCCGGTTCAGGTGGGCGTTAATGATCCCATGGCACTATTTGAAAAGAGAAGGGTGTTTCTCCTGGTGTCCTGGCCAACAATCCCGCAAATAAAACTGTTCATTTCATAGCTGTTTGTGGGACAATGCTTTGCAAAAGACAGTACCTCTGTCAATATACTACCAGCTCAGATTATGAGCTCGACGTCTCAATGCGCAGCTTGAATCCCCAACCATCTGAACCAGAAGCAAGAGTGCTATCAACCGAGCCATTAGTTTGACACCTAATGGAGTTATCCTGTTACCAGACAAAAAAGCCAAGGTTCTTGTGTCGCTCAAACCTCACACAGAAATCAGATCAATCCATTGAAAAATCAGAAAGGATCTTACCACCGACTATCTTTTTCACTTTGTCGCTCTTTGAGAAGGCAAATCCATTTGTATAATCCTTTTCCGGGGATCGGAAGGACTCTGAACGCTTCTTTTGCTTGTACTTTGATAGCCAGAGAAACTGTGGTGGAGGGGCTCCAGCAACAGCCTCTTTCAACAAATCTGTAATAACAAAGAAAGTTGTAAATCAGTAAGTAAGCACAACTTACAAAGACAGGATGTTGTGAATATTTGGGTTTTATCCCTAATTGGCAGGCAGTTCATTTTCCACTACCGTTAGATATTTATCTTTTACTTTTAAGATGCTAAAAGCAATCAGGAATTTCATCTGTTCCACCAGATGACTGCATATGGAGAAGACGGAACCTTGGCTCCCGTCAACATCTTCACTCCTGCGGTTCTAAACTCCTCAACTTCCCGGGGCTCTCCTTCAGACTCACAGAACCAGTGCGCAACCTAGGCGCCCGTTTCGATCCCCAGCTGTCCTTCCTCCCCCACATCCAGTCCCTGACCAGGAATGCTTTCTTCCACCTCTGCCACATTGCCCGCCTCCAACTGTACCTTACCCCAAATGCAGTCGAAACCCTTGTGCGTGCGTTTGTCACCTCCCGCTTGGATTACCCCAACGCACTCCTTGCTGGTCTCCCCATCTCCACCATTCACAAATTCAGCTCATTGAAAACTCTGCTGCCCACATTCTGACCCGAACCAAACTCTGTGCCCACATCTCACCAGTTCTGGCCCAGGCTCAACTGGCTCCCCATCACCAAATGGATCGACTTCAAGATTCTTACTCTCATGTTCAAATCCATTCACTCTCTGGCACCTCCCTACCTCTCCGACCTCATCACTCCCCAATCCACCACCCGGCACCTCCGCTCGACTGGCACCGGCCTCCTGCTCGTCCCTCACACCCTCCGCCCTACCATTGTCTGTCGTGCTTTCAACCAATACGTCCCAAAATTCTGGAATACTCTCCCTCAATCCCTCCGCCTTGCCCCTTCGCTCCCTTCTTTCAAGTCCCGCTTGACCGTCCTTACGGCCAACTCCCCCCTCCCCCTGGCTCAGGGTCAGGCTCCGCCACTGTTAAGCGCTCAGAGATGCTACCCTTCGTGGAGAGCACTATATAAGTACAAGTGGTTATTGACTGAAGAACTCTATCTTGTCTCAATTTTACTCATAACTCATTCATCTGAAGCTGAAAATCACCTTCATGGCTCTCCTCTGAAACTGCCCCAGGGCCTGAGCAGCTACCTTAAGTCGCAGCAACCAGTATTCTAGGTGAGGCCTAACCAGAGCACTAACTAGTTTGAGTATGAATTCAGCAAGCTATTCGACCATGAGGGACATTATACCCAAACTGGATTCTGTCGACACACACAGTTTGCCCTAGAGTTCATCCATCACCACATCCTTCTCTTTTAGAAAGATCTGCTCTTTCTTTTAGAATAATGTTATGGGACATTTAAAGTCCACACAACTAGGCAGACCTTTGATGACATGTCACCATTCTGCATTTGCATAGAAAAGGCGTAAGGAACCGAATCAGCATACAAATGGGTAAAATGGAGTCATCCTTTATGTAACCCTGAGTTAAGGATTTGAGGTTAATGATGAATATTAACACATCTTCTTTGTGCTAAGCTTACAAAGGCTGTCAGATTCACTGACAATTTTATCAGCACATTTAAAACAAAATGTATTCAACAACAACAATAACAACAAATTACATTTGCATAGCGCCTTTGACGTCGGGAGAACATCCGAATAGTCCAACTAAAATCCAGTCCACAAAGAAAATTTAAAATAAGTTAATCTACTTTGTAACAATTTTGCCCATTAAATAGTGCATTGATATCGAGATATCCTTATCAATATTAGACAGTTTCAGCACAAACTCCACGAGCAGCAATGTTGAAACAACCCATAATGTACCAAAGTCTTAAATATTAAAATCATTGGGTTAAAGGATTTATAATTTACGGCCTGTGCATTTTTTTGTACCTAAACGAGAGCTGGTGCTGCTTAATACAGAAACCACAAACTCTACCCGCCTTCCCTTACATAGATCTGCAACCTACCGTTACCATCTTTGGACTGCTTAAACCGAATCATCTTGAGAGGTTTTCGCCACAGTCAGAGTCTCGTAGTTTTAAAAATAACTTGATTACGGATGCTTTCCTGCCGTTAAGTTACTCAAGGCTCCAGAAAACCAGCACGGTGAGGCAAAGCCAGTGAACGCGATCACTGACTGACTAAATAACCACAGCAGTGAGACAAGCGTCACTAACATGCGAATGATGGTCTTATCTTCAGATCTTTAGAGGAACCCAACGTGCCTGCAACCCCAAATAAACACAGCACGGTCTCATACACACGCTACACAGCAGCAGAAGGGAACGGCCACTTTCAAACAAGAGCACGATGGCAAAACTCATGCAATCCTCTCACGTGTTTGCACAACTCTGCTAAGGGACACTTGGACCAGAGTTTAGGCAGTCTCAGGTGGAGACAGGCTAGAACTCTGATACTCTCTGCATCAGGGTCTAAGCTGCAGCAGAGTAGTAATTGCCTCTACACATTTTTGTTTACCGAGCACAATGCAAAATTTGCAGTAAATTTGCATAGGTGACAGAATTCAAATCGTTAGCAATGCTGCTTTTATATCGGATAACCAGGTGCACCAGGAGCAAGTCTCAACAACAACACATCACATTTGCACAGTGTCTTTCACGTTGGGAGGATGTTCCAAGGTGCTGGACAGTCAGGGATTTGGACCCAAGCTGAAAGTTAGGATTGGGGGGTGGGTGTGGAGAGCAGGGAACGTCGGGGTAGGAGGGTGGCTGAAGGCGCAGTCAAAGAGGAGAATCTTGAGATGTGCTTTGAAGGAGGCAAGGGAGGGAGTAAGGTGAAGGGACTATGGGATGGAGTTCCAAACGGTGGGGGCAGAGAGACTGAAGGCCCAACCGCCATGGTGGGGCGGGCCGGGCGGGGGACATGGAGCAGGCTGGAGCCTAAAAATGATGGGAGTTTCCACCGTCCGTGCATGTTTTGGACATTTGGGAATGTCAGTTTTTGACTGACCTATGTGACAATATTCATTATCGTGGCACTTTTGCTCTCAGACATTTTCTCCCCAGTTCCATTCATGTTACAACAAAACAATCCAAATTTAACAGCAACTTGCATTTACATAGTGGCCTTCACTTGGATAGCGTCACAGAGCACTTAAGGAGCGCTTAATTATATAGAGCCTTTCACATCTGGAGGACAAGAGATATGTCCGGAGATAGGGTTGGAGGAAATGAGGGATGCTTCAGTCACTAAGTTTTCATTACATTCAGAAGTGCAGATGCTGGTAAACCCCTGGTGTCAAGGTGATGAATTCACCCGTTGGGGGAATGGAACTTTCTGTTTCAGTTCTAGGTCCAATTCCAGGCCCCTTGTCTTCTGTCGTTCTCCAGAAATGGTTGGCTCGTTGCTGGGATAACAGAACCCACACACTGTCCTCCTGCGGCTGAACACATACAGTGGCAATTGCAATAATTGGACAGCGATTAGGAGCAGGAATCTTGTTACTTCTTTCCTTGAAGCTGGCTCCACTTTTCGGAACTTGATGCAAATCAACTGTACGTCTGCTGGTGTGACGCCCATTCCTGGAGTTCCTCAGACTTGCTCCTTCCCTCTCTTTGGTTAGCGCTTTTGGTGAAATTAAATATAATGCTGGGATTAAAGCGGAGCAGGAGGCATAATCCAGACCCATCATTAAATTGGGAAGGGGAAACTATAGAACATCACTCCAAAACATGGAATGAGTTTCTACGAGCAGAAGTTCAGTTGATTTGCCAGGTGCCCATTGTGCATTATTTGCAAAGCAAATGTTTTAAACACATCTATTTATTGCCTTTGAGGTTTGGCTGCAGATGTAGTCATCAATCTGATCCCCACTGAAAAAAACTGTCTTACAAATGACTGATTCAACAACACTTATATAGTGCCCTTTACGTTGGAAAGACGTCCCAGCGCGCTGGACAATCAGGAGTATTAATTCAGTTTAAAAGAGAATTAAAAAATGTAACACTTTTGTTCCACACGAAGCAAGCTCAGAGCGAACCTTCAACAGGAAAGAACCAGCCAAGCTCTCTCTTGTGACTAATTGTAAGAGAAGAGTAAGCCAATTAGATAAGGAAAGCGCAGCCCCTAAGACATTTGTGACCAACGTCTTGGTTCCTCCCCTTCCCACCATAATCACCATAGCCTGATGCTTTCCCAATCAGCCTGTCTCATAGACTATTAAGTCTTGTCGAGTATCTTGCTCACTCACTGAATATTTTTTGCCTTGTGACCTGAAACTGAAAATGATTCCACCTAGAGTATTCAATAATTATCGGGTGTCAGAAACTCATTTGGGTTTGACCACAATCTGAAGGCACTCCTTCAGTTATTTTTACTTTTACAACATTAAGGATGGCGCGTTAATCAGTCACACAGAGAAGGTAAAACAACAAAAATCTTTTGTTAAGAGAGACCGTACGTAAATATGGCTGACATGGCAACCACAGATGTTTTGAACACAAGGGTTAGCTAGGCCATGCAGACTTTGCTTCCATATATTGTGATCAAGTTTGGACCAGTTGCAGAATGCTGCTGACAGGAAGTATTGTTACAGGAAGGGAGTGTGACCTAATGCTGCTATCATACTGAAATCAACACGAGTGAACAACCGTATCTCACTTGTGTCGACAGTGTGATATTTGCACTGCGTATTTTCCTTAAGCTTATGAACGCAATGGCACTTCATCAACCTCTTGAGCTGGAAGGGAAGTGGGAACAAAAGGATCAGAATAATGATGCTGAGATCCAGAATAATGAGCCGGAGAAAGAAAACAAAAGCTTCAGAGTATGAATTTTGCCTCAAATTGGGAGGCTTTTTGGGAAGCAATGTACAACTTGCATTTCTAGTGGCCTTCGTGTGGGAAGTGTCGTCTGAGGTTTGACACCGAGCTGAAAGAGACGGGAGGTGCCCAAAGGCACAGTTGAAGAGAAAGTCTTCAGCTGTGATATGAAGACGGGCAAAGAGGGGGCAAAATGGAGGGATTGAGGCAGGGGATTTCAGAGATTTGGGGCATGGTTGCTGAAAGCACGGTTGCCATTTGTGGAGCGAAGGAGACAAGGGAAGTGCAGAAGACCCGAGTCAGCTGAGTGAAAGCAGTGGGTACTGGAGTGGGGTGTGGGAATTATGCACAGCAGTGTCCCACAAACAGTCATAAATTGAGTAACCACATTTCTTTTTGTATAAAAAGGGATTATTACTCCCAGAAAAGCGATCTACCAATCGACTGAAAAACAGGTTCTTACCTACTGCTAAATAAACAGGTGTGTGGAGTAAAGAAACTTGCCAATGTTACCCCCTGCCCAGGAATCGAACCCAGGTCCTCTCTCTTGCATGGCGAGTTCTCTAACCAATACCCTATAGGACTCCACACAGTATATTCTGTGAAGCGCTTAGAGACGTTTCGAAGACATGATAAGGCACTATAACAAACTTATGGATTATTATTTATTATTAAGTATTAGTTTCAAAGCTGTCAACATGGAAGAAACTTTAGGAATAGGCCTCTTACTACCAGCAAGAGACAGATTGAAAACATATGGAGATGTGCTTATTTAAGAGTGGGACAAATCAAACTGGTTATTTTTGAACCAGTCACTCCCAATGATTGATGTTTACAGAACCATAAATTTGCAATACAGGAGGCTACTCATCCCATTGAGTCCATGCCAGCAGCTCTATGAAAGAACTACTCATTCAGTTCTCCTTCCTCCACACCCTCTCCAAACCACTTAGTGTTTCTCTGTTGCAAAGATTTGTCTAATTGCCTTTCAAAATCTATTGTTGATTATGAATTACATTTTTTTGGGTCAGCCTTGCATGTTCCAATAACTTGTTGTAATTCTGCCCATCAAACGTACGTTTACAACCCAGAGAGAGTATAAGAAATAAACAACTGTGATAAATCTGCCGAGACTGAATGTGTAGATAACAGGGCGGTCGAACTGAGTAGGATGAGAAATGTCTTTTTTTCAAAAAAAAGGCTTTCGATAGCGTGATGAAGAGTGGGGCTAGGTTTGAGAGTCTCCAGAGAGGGGAGGTCCAAGGAAACCATGAGTTAAGCAGGAGATGGAGCAAGTCAAAGTAGATTTTTAAAACAAACAAAATGTAAGCGCTTTCCCCAGATTTGTAAAAACAATTACACTGGAGAACAAAGTCAAAAGGCAACCACAGACGTTGTGCACATAAATTTGGCAAATGTTTTACTGGGTAATGGGATTCTCTTCCTTCCCTTTTCATTAAAAAGCACGTGACAGAGGTTTACTGGAAAAAGTGATCAAGATTCTGTTGGTAGCACTCTCTACTTAGGTAAGTCAGAAGATTGTGGGCTCAAGTTCCACATGGTTACTTGAAATTCAGTCGCTGCTGACAACTGGGGAACACTGCATTATTCTTCAGATGAGACGTTAAACCGAGGTCCTGTCTGTCTATTGATGCGGATGTTAAAGATTCCATGGCACGATTCAAAAAGAGAATGGAGTTTTTCCCCAGTGTCACAGCCAACAATCCTCCATATAAAATTGATCATTCACTTCATGGCTGTTTGTGGGACATTCCTATGTACAAACTGGCAGCTGCTTTTGGTTACAAAACACAATCACTTTATAGTACATTTACAGTAAGTCCTGTGAAGCGCTTTGAAACATTTTGATGTGCTATATCAAATGCAAGGATTAATATAATTTCCACGGTGCTTTTCAAGCAGATATGTTCTTTTTTCCTGCTCATGAAAACTGCGGAGTTGAATTCAGAAATTCGTTACGACTGGATTAGGAATTAGCTGGATGTGTGAGAGACAGATCCTCATCCGCTGTTCTCAATGCAAATGTCACGTTCATGCATATTCCAACTCAAAGCATTCAATTACAAGTAATCTTTCACTAAACAAAAAGGTGAAAATATATCCACGTACCAATCCCACTAACTGGCAGTCAAGTAGTATCTCCAGGTTTCAATACTGCCATTGAGAACAGTATAGGGAACAGAGGTGTCTGGAATAGGCACATCTGGATATTTCCTTAGGCATTGATTATGCATTTCTAAATTGAAACGCTGTATGCTTGTATCTTTAAATTGCACAGAATTTAGAAATATGAACCTTTTCACTTCAATCTGGTCACTTCAATCCACCACTGTCTGCGGAACGCTGCTGTGCACAATTGGCTGCCGCGTTTCGCCCACAAAATATATGGTCAATTCACTATGCAGTAAATTCTGTGAAGCGCTTTGAGACGTCTCAAAAAAATGTGCTAAGGCGGTATATCAAATGCAAGGATTATTATTTTTCATACCGTCACAGACTCTCCGCAATTCTTGCAGGAACATCCTGCTTTGTGAGCCAAAGGGTAGCTGCAGTTGTAACTCATCATCCCCCGATATTATTCTAACTGTGGTGTCTGCACCTAGAAGGAAAGATGGCACAAATTTCAGAACGATACAAGATAAAATCCACCAGCTATGTAGGTTCACACCACCTCATCATATACCAGGGCTTAGTTAGTTACTTGGTCACCACTAGCATGGGGGTTGGGGGGCGGGGGTGGGTGGGGGAGGGAGGAGTGGGAGGAGAGAGAGCTCTGAAAGACTACATTCATATCCAAATTCAAAAAGGATTTATATATATCTGTTTAAAGAGTCAGAACCTGCCTCTTTTCTTCCACTTGGGTTGGTATCTCGTGAAACTACAACTACTAATAATAATAATCCTTGAATTTGATACAGTACGTCTTTGAGATGTCTCAAAGCGTTTCATAGAATAGATTGTAAAGTGGATTGACTGTATATTTTGTGGGTGGAACATGGCAGCCAATTGTGCATTACTATTATAATTACATACATTATCATATTCCACGACAGATAATCATGTAGTTCACAGACACCCTCCAGTGGTGGGTAAGCAATTTAGCAGAAGAGAATCTAATCACGGGGTAAACCGTGGTAAACAGCAAACACCAAGCTTGAAAATTCATCATTGATTAAATTGATGATTGTATCATAAATTGAATTGTGTTGTCAGTTCCTACGACCCACGATACCATCAGGTATAAAACCTTCCTGAATTTCCTCAAATTTCGTTCAGAAAATTTAAACTGTGAAATAATGTCAAAATGTGACAGATTTCAGGTCCAATCGAAACAGTGCCAGTAATTCATAGTACAGAGTTAATCCAACGAGGATAAACGGGTAAAATAAAACAGGAAGTTTTCACTCTGCATTTAATGGATTAGTGGAATGATCAATACGTCAGTGTTACCAAACAACAAACATTTTAACCAAACAGCATTAAAAACACACAGAAAAATGCCATATTGTGTTTACAACTGTATTTGGAAATCTGCGTGGTTAAATGATTAATGAATGCGACTTAAACACAGGGGTAAACAAAGTTATCTGAACACTTGAACTCCACAAGGATATGCAAACTCCACAATCTATTCCAAACTTACCACAGGCACGTATGTATTCACTGCACTGACACAAATCTTACTGTCTTCTGGAGAAGGGGATTGCAAATAAATAATGTAAATTTTAAACAAGATTTTTCCTGCAAGCTTAATCAGAATTAGAGAAAGAAAAAAGCATCTTATCATGCTGAATGTCTTCCAGCTCATTGAGCTAAATACTTCCAAATGCACGAGTTGGCTAAAACAGCAATTATTTGTACAAGCAAGGAGTCACAAACAAGCACGAGGCTATGAATCGTAATGAGAGTGTCGGCCAGGGCAATTTGCTCTTTGTTTTAAAACAGCGTTGAGGGATATTTAACATCCACTCGAACGGACAGATGGGCCTTCACTTTAATGTCTCATCTGAAACTGAATTATATCAGTGGGGTTGTTACGATGTAATTTGTCATCAGCACATGTAGTGTTTCTTTGCAAACCTCTCTGTGCAGCTGTTTATACAGTGCGAGTGTAATGAACTAGGCAAAGTGGCTAACAAGTGGAAATGTAAATAGTTTCGACTTCAAGTCTTCCCATTCTGACCCAGATGAGAAGATCTGCAACAGCCTGGCTGGAAATTCCAGTCGTTAAAGAAGCGACATCACAACCCATTCTTTGCCTGTCCCAAATTCCTCTGCTGGCGATGGCGAGAACAGATGGACAGGGCAATGAGCACGACAGTAGAAATTAAAAGGTGAATACTGCTTTTTAAAAAAAAAGGATTGTGGAGAATCACGGGAGAGAACAATGCCAAAGTTTGGGTTTGGGGATAAAAAAATACTTAACCACATCGTGAGTTCCAACCTAAACTTAGCCAGTCCTTCGGGAATGGAGTTCATTAATTTTTGTACTGGAGAAAATGAGACAGACGTGCTCCGCTACTGTGAAGTGGGCGCTGCATAAATGCAAGTTGTTGTCGTTGCTTTGTTCTGCCATCTAATGGCCACTTACAGAGCAATACCCTTTCAATATACATTGAAAGCTTTTCCTCATTTTTAGTAACACAACCTTGATCCACTTAAAATATGATGCTGCGTCAACTTTGTCCACGTGAACAAAAAAATGTATAATTGCACATAAAAATAAAACGTTCAGCAAGCAGATACTGCGGCAGGTTTGTAAGCGGAGAGAAACAAGTCG